ACAAGATTTTATTCATATCAACTTGTTTACGAGTAAAATGGAATATTTAAAGAGGCATATGACATCATTTATGCGGATTACTGAACAAACGGATACAATCATCAACAAAATATTCTCTTGTGACTGAGATCCAGGTAGTGAATAGTTACGCAATAACATCTCTATTCCAAGCACTGACAGATTTTACAGGAATATATGTGGAATTATCTGTCTCATGCTGCAGAAATTTTGCGATAGGTACCTGTTATATCACCCAACAACAGAAATTATGACTGTTACAGGCATGAAACCATCCGCCAGTATCTGTGACTGAACTATCTGCCTAAAGACGCTTTGCCCAGCGACAGTTTGCCTAATGGACATTTTGCTTAACCGATTGTTTGCCTAGTGTCATTTTGCCTAACGCACGTGCGAGATTGTTAGACGCACCTGTTCAGAGCATGTTTGGAATGTTCATCTCGCGGCTATTATTAGAACACCTGTACATATCATTGGTGACTTTGATGGCTTCAATTAAAGTCGAGTTTTGACTAATGAAGTTACCAAGAGCAAAGAACGCATCTAGTTCATCTTTAACACCGGTGACGGACAGCTTGCTTCAGCAGTCTGCTTCGGGGAACTATGTTTGGATTCATACACATCACCACAACGTCTCTCGAAGATGAGACTGGTGTATCTTCTCTGAACGTTTTCAATTATATTAACGTCCTGCTTGTCCTTGTGTGGATCGCAGGGAGACCTGAAGGACGAGGCGTATTCTAGAAGTGGGCGAACATAGTTACAACAGTAATAGGATTAGAAAGTTTTAAACTGCTAAGATTTCATGCCGATCTTTGTAGGCCCTACAACATCACTCAATATCAGGCCGATCTCCCAATGAATGAATTTTTCGAATATTCTTCAAGCACTGAACTAATCCGCCGTAATAATTCGTTTAAACTCGCTGTCAAGCACTGCAAACTAAACAGTGCAAAATTCTCCATCACGCACAGAGTCGTTAGAGCACAGACCGCCCCAAAATATTGCCTCCTCTAAATCGCTTCATATATTTAAATGCTGACTCCGATCCATTCCACCTCATGAAATCGGATTTATGTCTCCGATAAAATCCTGATAAGCAAAGTGTTGATGGATTTCATTCACTTTGTTCTTTGTTCTGGCAGTACAGATAACTTCTAGAATTTGAGAATATGTTATGTTCTGTCATGTATGTTACAAAGGGTGACCGACAAATAAGTTCGCGACAAAAATGATGAGGCACGCGCATGCTACTCAACAATGAGGCACTCGCAAATTGGCAGAGTGTCCCTTGCCGCGGACGAAATTGTCGTAGACCCATTACAAATACGGTATTATAGTCTTATTCACTGATACAATGTCGCTGCCAATATGTGCTAATGTATTTCAGTTGTTATTCTCTCCTGCCTTCTTTTTCAGTGCTTTCTTTCTCCCCAGCAATAGTTGGAACAGTATGTTCGCCACGCAGTAATTTTTTGTACTGAACTGTGTTTACGTAATAATAATGAACTACTGAACGGTTTGCACAAGGCAAAACTGGCTGAATTCAGAAATATAGAAAGTTTCGACGTGGAAGCACTGTACACGAATATTGACAATGAGGGTGCAACACAAAGTTTGTTATTGCTGTTGAAAGAACATGGCTCCACTGTGGATCCGTTCGGCTTCACGGTTATTGACCTGGAGTTATTGCTGACAGCCTGTCTCGGTTATGATGTGTTCCAATTCAACAGTTCATTCTGTGAACAGAAACGCAGTTTGGCAACGGAAGATAGGCTGACGCCAGGCTTACAGATAGGATATGAAGCCTCAGCTGCAGGTAGGCTTACATGTATACCATCGAGAGACGGTGCATTGACTGTAATGTGATTCTTTACAAAAGGTATATCGATGACATCATAATTCTCACCACTGGTCACGAAGATATAGAAAGGCCTTTCACATTGTTAAACGCTGCGACAAGCAACATCAAACTCACCCGTGAAAAACCTAACGGTGAGGTATGAAGCATGTGGACCGGGAAAAACCATGGTCGTTACATATGAGAGGAAAGCGCAAAAGGGAAATTATGAATGCGCGCATTGAAGTTTTAGCCTATGAGCAAAACTTACAAAGAAGAAAATAAAGGAGGCCATCTTCATCGAGAAACTAAAACCAGATGTCAACATCCGGCATGAAATGAGTGAAACGATGCGATTCATTAACCCCTTCTGATACATCAAACTGCTCTCACATGCTATTATCATCATTATTAATATTATTGTTATTAAAGTCATTACTATTACTACTACTATTATTGTTGTTGCTGTTTATTTATCATTTATTTATAAAACCTATTATTACTATTATTATTATCGTCATTATTATTACCACTATTCTACTGTTTTTACTATTATTATCACTCGTTTTCTCATCCGTGCATTGAGACAGTCATTAATAATACATCTTTCCTTTCCTATATGCATGTCATGTCAGTATCCAACCGCCGGGAATTATTCTAATTCCCCACAATTAATTCACCAAATCACTGAGGGTGCTAGTCAAGTTCATCCCACATACCATCGACGATACAAACCATTACCTGCAGCTGAGACTTCATATCTCGTCGAAATGTTTCGCAAATTCCATCATTTTACGTATTACTTGGTCATCAAGGTATTATTTTTTATTATCGTTTTCATTATCATTATTCTTATTCTCATTGTACTGAACTGTGTTGTACATACTGTCATGCGAATAAATATTACTTTTTTTTCTAAATCGTCGGTGTTTTGCAAGCACTACTCACTGATTGTGGCTCTTTCGACTGTGCGTAGAGCGGTTTCACTTTCAGCCGCACGCGTGTGAAGTTAGTGGTTGGCACTATCGCCTCACACCATGATTACAATCATAAATTTTCACAAAAAAGATCAAAAAGCACTTTTAGCGATCAAGTGTCGTAAATGTTTTCTCGTTTCTCAAAGCATATTATCATCTGTCTGATTTTTAAAGTATACTTTCGTCTCAAATTATTTAGAACGTTCCCATGTTCATGGTCCACACGCTGGATTGTCGAAAAAATCTGACTTGAATGTTTTTTGAGCATCGCTTCCAGTATCCAATTTTTCATAAATTGCTCATTGACACTATTCGTAGCCTTTTAAATATCGAAATAATCCCTGAGGCGTATTGCTTTTAACATATGCTAATGCTGTTACCATATTTTGCTATAGTTATTAATTTGTGCCGATTGCAGGATATACTTTCTTAAAGCGT